GCTGCTGCTGCTGCTGCTGCTGCTGCTGCTTCTGTCGCTGCTGCGGCTCCTGCAGCTGCGCCGTCTGCTGATGCTGCTGCTGCTGTCGCTGCTGCGGCCCCCGCTTCTGCGCCTTCTGCTGCTGCTTCTGGCGCTGCGGTCATTGCTGCCGCCGCTGCTTCGTTGCCTACTGCTGCTGCTGCGGCTGCTGCTTTTGCTGCTCCTGCCGCTGCGCCGCTCCCAGCTGCTTCTTTTGCTGCTGCAGCTTCAGCTGCTTCTTTTGCTGCTGCAGCTTCTGCTTCTGTCATCCGGCCTGCAGTCACATCCTCTGCTGCTGCGTCTGCAGCAGCCACTGCTGCTTCTGCAGAAGCTGCTGTATCGCCTGCCGTCGTTGCTGCTGCTGCTGCATCTGCTGCTGCTGCTGTTGCAACACTTGCTGCATCTGCTGCTGCTGCAATAAGCCCGGAGACGTCTGCATGTCCCAGCCTCCGCTTCCTGCTGGGGCTCTTCTCTCCGTCTTCTGGAGGCATATCGCTGCTGCTGCTGCTGCTGCTGCTGCTGCAGCAGCCATTGGTATCAGCAGCCCTCAAGTGGTGCTGCATCTGCGGCTGTTTCTGCTGCTGCTGCGTGTCCTCCTGCTGCTGCAGCAAGATGAGCTCTGTTTGCTGCTGCTGCTGCTCCCCACCATCATCTCTCAGCCTCTTTCTTTGTTCACGGGCCGGTGCCTCTACTGCTGCTGCTGCAGCAGCTGCTGCTGCTGCTTCCGGTGCTGCTTCCGCAGCCATCGCACTTGGCTCAGCTCTTGCTGCTGCTTCTGCTGCAGCATCTGCTGCCTCTATGGGCTCAGCAGCTTCGCCTTTGCCAGCGTCTGCTTCTGATCCAGCTTCTTCGCCATCAGCAGCAGCAGCAGCAGCTGCTGCTGCTGCTGCTGCGCTGCTGCTGCTAGAAATGCGGACAGCAACAAGCCTCTCCACAGCCCGCACCAGCAGCATCCCTCCGTCGGGCCTCGCCTTAACTTCCACTGGCGCTGCTGCAGCAGCAAAGTGTGCGCACCCCACAATCTCTGCCATCTGCTGCTGCTGCTGCTGCTGCTGCTGCTGCTGTGGCAGCTGGTGCTCATCCTGCTGCAGCAGCCGCAACAGCCACAACGTGCCGGTCGGCGAGCACACCGCCACGAGGTCTTCGGCTTCCCGCTGCTGCTGCTGCTGCTGCTGCTGCTGCACAGAGAAAAGCTGCAGCCTTAGCTGGTTGAGGGGCGGGCGAGAGAAGTAGCAGAAGGGGAAGTTGCTGCTGCGGCCAGTCAGGGACCATCGGTCGCTGCTGCTGCAGCTGCTGCTGCTGCTGCTGGCGGGAGGCAGTAGCTCTCCGCAGCCGCCCCACAGCACTTCTGCATTGTAGCAGCAGCAAGAGGGAGGCAGCATCGACAAAGAAGACAAATGGAAGAGTTTAGGGAAGTTTGGGGCTTGCTGCAGCAGCAGCTGCTGCTGCCGGTGCTGCCGCAGCAGCTGCTGCCGCAGATACTGCAGCAGCAGCTGCTGCGGCTGCAACGCAAACTGCAGCAACAGCGGCGCAGTGTACGTACAGCTCTCGCCCTCAGCCCGAGGGTCTGCAGCAAATGAAACAATCAGGGAAATGCGGCCTCCGCCTGATAGAGCTTCAAGATCTGTTGCTGCTGCTGCTGCTGCTGCTGCTGCTGC